GATGTAGTTGTAGTAGTTGTTGTGATGGTCGTAGCAGTTGATGTTGTTGTGCTTGTTGCGGTGGTACTTGTTGTTGTAGTTGCGGTTGTTGTCGTTGTTGTTGTTGTTGTTGTTGTTGTAGTTGTTCCTGTGCCTCCTGTCGAAGTTAAAACGTAAGTGTTAGACTTGTTTTCAAGAGAAATATTCGAATGTTTGAGAATTCAAGAGGTAGTGTGATGAAGTTGATATATAGTGTGGTCGTTGAAATAGACTTCAGTAATTTCGAATATAAATTTTCTGCTGAAATTTTGTTTGTGTGATGATTTTAGATACAAGAGATGTCTTTATTGATGGTATTACAGTTTATTTAACTCTTGAAATCATAAATCGCATCGATTACATATAAAGCATACGCTTGAATACTCAACGATTTGTGAGAACGAAGAAGAAGTATAGATACAGACAAGTGTGAAGGACAGAAAGATAAAGGCAATATGTGTGATGAGATTAAATTGTAGCATAAGACCAAATATTATGTGTAAGTTATACTTGAATGAGAGCATTACACCCCCGGATGGAATTTGGACGTTCTCCGGAAATAAAGTTACAGTTTGGATCAGCTTTTATTGGAACTTTGTATGATCGTTGATTGAAAACTTTATGAGTTATCTACGTTTTGATAGAGCCATAGTAGAGATTGTGTCATAGTTTCTGGATTAGGAGAACTGGGTTAACGCAAATTTATTTCAAGTTAGTGCGTGTGGAAGACTCACCACGGTGTTCTGTAACTTATGGGCTATCAGAAGAAACTCGACGAATGAAGTTACTGTTAGCAAAGTACATGAAGTTGCAAAGGGTCTCGTAAGTGAGTTTGAATCAGAATGTATGCATCCTAATAGTGCGGTTAGAACATATGTAACATCATGAAATATGACAACATTTCCATCGTAAAGTAAAATTTTTGGACAAATTTATACACGTCTACAGATCTCCATTCAGTCATTTACTCTAAAGCTACTCTAGTTAGCAACCTGCTGTGTAACATGATAAGAATATTAAGGTTTTTGAGTTATTCATTTATTGCTTCTGTAAAAGAACCCTTAAAAATGCGTTAAAGATTGTTTGCTGAGTAAAATTATTAAAATACTAAGGTTGCCTTTGCTAACGTAATTAAAATATGTATCTGCTCAGTAAAAAATATTTTGGCAAGTTAGATAATTTATTGCTAAGCAATAGAATATTCTCTCAAGTTAATAAATCGAAATTTCACAAAAAAATACAATTCTCAGGTAAAAAATATCATTACTAAGTTATTTCAAATTCATCCAAAGTACGGGTGTATAAGAGGAGAAGAATTTTCACGGTGACATGATGCTAGTGTCCGTTGACTACAATAGTTTGAGACTCGAAAACAAAATGTTTTTAAACCAGGAACCAGAAGTGTATCAGATGAAAAATTATTTGTTTGCTGGATAAAAAAAAACTTTTCGATTCTGATCATGTAGAATTGCAGTATTATAGTGCTAATGAAAATTTTTGATCAATATTTGATATAGTCACTTCGATGATAAAAGACGCTTCTTCTCCTGTTCCGCTTTAGATGATGGGCACAAGCACAGATTCGCAAAATGATATTCACTACTAAAACCCGTCGTGTCCAAGATTTTTAAACCCGGAATCCGATCCGAACCTAAGAAAACAGTATTTTAAGGCACATGACAGGTCGGCTGTGTAGACCCATGCCTGAGTTCAAATTCTATCCGACGCGTTCTATATGGAGTATATATTTTCAATCTCGCTTTCGTTCTAGCAACATTAAAGTAATAGCACGATATTTGCATATTCCACTTAGATCTTCTTTCGTTCTGAGGTCATGTGGAAATTGGACCACGTTCTTTTTTTGAGGATGTTCTGTTGCAACTAGTGCTATTTTGTTTGTATTATTGAGAGTTTGGCTTTGTTTGGCACTTTCTATTTAGCTCTTCCGCTCCGTCATTTTTTTGATAACTTTTATGTATGTATATACATCGCGGAAAGTTAATTTTGAATTAATAACTACGTGGAAAACAGACTTTGCAGTTATCCAAGTTTCTTTTAACAGTACTTATGCAACCATATTATTGGCATGACTATTAGGTTGCTTTTGTAAATGCCCTTCAGCAACAAACGATATATCTTTGGGTGAAAAAATAAAACAAGAAAGACCACGAAGAGCAACAGAAGCTCTATTAATAAAATAATTGTACAATTAATGATTGTGCTTAGATATTCATATCTCTCTGTATTTAGCAAAAATTTTATTTTTTACTCAGCTTTTAGTTAAAATTATTTAGCAGATAAGTAGTGGCCCGTCAAAGCACTCGTCTAATGTTATTCTTCTGATTGGGGATTTACACTCCATTGCTGACTTCTTCTAAAAGAAGTTCAATTTAACTGAGGAAATGAATAACAGCGTGTAGAGGGATTTGTTCCTTCAGTTGATGACTATACCCGATTTCGAAAAAAAAAATGATTCAATTTTGTGAATATCCATATAAGCACAGCGTGCTGATCATTAATATTGTTTATACTTGTATCATATAGTACTTGAAGTACAGATTCATACGTAATGTTTTAACTTAGGTGATATGATAAATATAGAAATCAAAATTAATCGTAATTATGAGATGGTTTTGAAACTCTTACCTTTCGGGGTAAGATAGATATACAATAACGGAGCTGCGACAGCACTAGCCAATAATAAACAGGTAATCATTGCGCATATAAATAAACGGTATTGTTTTCGCTTCGATTTATCATTTTGTTGTTCTTCAACTGTTTCTACTTCTTCCAGTGGTGCATGGATGACAATAGGACTTTCCACAGAATGGATTCGGGGCAGTGTTGGAGCCTGACTCAATTCTGGAATCTGAGCCAAAGCTGGAATCCGAGCTAAGGCTGGAATCCGAGCCATTATAATCACTGGGTACACACGCCGAGTATTCATTGAAATATTCAAATGATGTCTTCATCTATTTTGGCAAATACGATGCCACTATTGATGTTGCATTTTATGTTTATTCAAGATTTCAATAGGTTTCTTTAGTGAGCAGCAGGCAAAATAATATATCGAATGCACTTTAATATGCGTGAATGACATAGGTTTCTGTGTTTTCGGTATCCGATTAACTTTTTCGTTCTTCAAATTTCTCGTCGTTTTTATATAGTATTGTTTTCATTACTCTCACGGAAGATTGACTCAGTCAAAATTGAAGAATTTCAAATGAAAAACAGAAGTGATTTTTTTAATTGATCTTTTTAGCTGCCTGCCGCGCGTAAATATTCCTAGGAGTAAATATTGCCTACGTCATATGATATATAAACACGCACATAAACACAACAGTCCATTAGAAACATCACAAAACATTGATAACAGTGGCGTATCCAGCAGGGTAGCAATTGGGCAATTGCCACCCAAACGAAATTTTGTTGCTACCTATTTCTTTTTTAGTACAGGCAATTGCCCATCGTAAAAAAATAAGAAAATTTGTGTGCAGTTAAAGATTTGAGGACTGTTTTCTTTCAACACATTTGCTTGCGGCGAGCTTTAATCAAGTGATTTACACAAATCAATCTTCAATGTCTTCTAGCTAAAGAATGATCACCATAATAATTCATTGATATTTACTGGCAAAATATTCTCTATCTCTTATACACTCAAATTTGCTAAAAATAAAGGTGGATAAATGTTCAACGATCTTTCTATTTCTACAAACATAATTCATATGATACAGAAACGCCTGAATCAATCAAAATTGAAAAATGTCGCAACATATGTTGCAACATGATTCGTGCAATGTAGAATTGAAAACGTGAGCAAATTATATAGAAAATTAAAATAAAATTGATTGTGTAAATGACAGTGTTTTGAAAACGTTTTCACAACTTATTTCAGATAATAAAAGTACTACATTAGTAATGAAATGACAATATATGTACGTAGTTCACAGGATGTGCATATTAGTGAACAGTACAACTAAGAAAAATAACTTTCATGATTGAGAATTTGTTGAAAATATAGATGGAACAATGCTTGTTGCTTGTCATTGTCCAATGTAAGAGAACAAACTAATACGTGTCATTGTGTGATCGATGAAAGAAGATTAACTGAGCTTTTTCGTTGCCTAACGAAAGAGAAGGAAAAGACATTGATAATTTTTCGGCGAAAAAAGATAAAATAATACACACCCTCACCCACACCCTTCTTCAAATAAAATATTCAAATATATGAAATTGAAAAATAGATTTACGAAACACGGGGGAAAGCAGCGAATTCATCTGTTAACGTAGGATGACTACAACTTTCTCTTCGAATACACAACGGCTTCTGTAATGCGCATAATTTTTTAAAATTATTGCCCACTAGATTTTATAATTGCCCACTATTGCTACTCATTATAAATAATTTAGCTGGTGAATTGCCACCTACTGAAAAAATCCTGGCTACGCCACTGATTGATGAAAATGAATCTTAGAATGGATGAAAGCCATTCAGTCAGTATAATATGCATAAGACACTGTACTACATTTGTTTACGGACTACACATGGGATCTAACGGGTTAGTTGAGATAGTCACACGCTCGATTAGAAATGAATATAGAACCATACTTGTAAAAAGATGATATTAGGTACATAAATTTTAAATTCTACAATTTTAATTTTCGCACTAAGAATTTAAGGTAACATGGTGAACAGAAGAACCAAATCGAGAAGATTTTTTATACACTCCTTTCAAAAAAATCATATCTTCCTCGACATTTATGTAAGCTACACTGATCAATTTATTCTCAAAACAACCCATAGATAATCTGATTCATGAGACTTATCGGATGTACTGCACTTCAGTCTGTTAGGTCGAAATTTTCATGAGTTTGGAACTGGACCCTAATAGGATGCTCGTATATTTGTAAAGAATATTATGGTGCGAGAGCCACTACATTTAGTGGAATTAATTATGACCTTTAAATTTCTCTGGTTGTCACGATACATATCGAAAGAAGTTGGTATCGCGAAATACACAGATTAGATGATCGAGATTAGGATGAATATGGTAAAAACGAGTAATATCGAGATTGGCAGACACGTAAGAGGAAAATATGGAGAAGAAGATAAAAAAAAACGAAACTGTGAACGCCACAAAATAAGAATTATTTCCTTGTTTTAAGATCATGTCGTGCATATTTCCACACTTGCATTCAAAATCACGCGCTTCAGGTAAAAATTCAATTAATTAACACTGGCAGAAAACTTACTGCAAGTAATTCTTTTTAAATAATTCAATATATGATGTTTACTTGTTTTCCTGTTTTCTAAACAAATATGCATCGTACTGTTATCGAAAAAGTATTGTACTTTTGGCTTTTATTATGTATCATGGGTGTCATAGATTAGTCACCGAAATTTGTTTTACTACTTCTAGATACGTTACACACATATTTCAATGATTCGCTCGAATGATAGAGAGATGCCGATGTAATTTTCTGCAGATGCAAAATTTTATCCGATTCTTGATATCTGCTTTATGTGTTTTTTTTCTCAAGAGAGTTAAGAATATGTGCGAGTTTATCACCTTTCAAACCTCAAATGACTTCTTTGAAAAGATTTTTCTCATATCGAAGTATATCAGGGCGTTAGCGCGCATAGGTTAGACTGAAGGAACCTGTGATAAAAGTAAGTCTTCAAAAAGCCTTCTATACATTCTCCCTTCCTCATTTCACTTGGCCAATATTTTCAAGGTTTTACTATACTGAAAAATAAAGAACAAAACTTGAGCATCCTTATATATCGAGATTACGGCTTGTGTACGGCCTATGTGGTTGGGGTGATTATACAACACTTATTCTATATATAGATTACACATTAGGAGATTATATACACATTTAAATATTGAAAAAATTCATGAAACACTAGATGAATCTTTTGAAGCGCTAGTATTTCAACAAACATGAGTAGCCTTTTTAATCGCAACATCAACAGCTATGATTGAATATTTTGTATTGCCATTTTCCCACCGTAATTTAATTAAATTCATTTTTAAAATATAATATGATCCAAAAGTAAGAAGAATAAAACTATAATAACACCATAATGAAATTAAAGAATATCTATATATATCGATGTGTATACCCATAATGAATAGATAAATATCTTTTCTCTTTCTCTCAACAACAAACATTGTAATAAATAAAAATGTAAACAAACGTTTAAGTGTCTCGTATTGTATCATCTTCTTTCTTTCTTTTTTCTTCCTTGTCTTTTCTCATCTCTTGTTCAGCTGTTTCGCTAAGAAGATAGATGTAGTATTTATATAGACACTGTAACTGTTAACCTTTTGGAACAATAAACTTCATATTAAAAAATAAAAATAAACCTCTTGATCTTTCAAACATCGACGATATTCTACCAGATACGGATTCGTTACAACACAATCTGGTCTGGTGCAAGGCTGCATAGAAATGAGTTGCTCGATCTCACTGAAACAAAACGAAGTTTTTGCCACTCACAGTTAAAAAATCATAAAACTTAGACGTGGCGCGGTCGCTGTTCAGTATTTTATTTTTTATAGTGATATTAGACCGTTTGGTTTTATGTATCGTTAAATAGAGCTAAATTAAGTATGTATCTTCGTGGAAAAACTATCGCCAAGTTCTCAACCCCTTGTGAAAAACAAAAACGATTATTTTCTCAGCCATTGGCCATTGCCTATGTACCAGTAACGGTGGTACAAATTTTATTTTGACAGTGACTCAGGCATAGCGTATATTGTACAGCAAAAAAAATGTTACTGAAACAGGAATACAAGAAGCGCTTGGCAAACGCTTTCAAGAGGAACGGTAAAATTACGTCAATAAATAATTAACCAAAAACAAAAATCTGTTTATGGCTATTATTTTAAACAATGATTTGACTTCTCCCATTTTTCTTACCTAAATATTACAAACAAGCATTGATATGACTAAGTTTGGTATGAGAGGATGCCTTTTTTTAATAAGCTTTCATGGGATTGAAACCCGGCAAAAGCCTCCGATAGTTTCGTATTTTCCCGCCAGTATCAGACCTATAATCCACTAATCTATATTCTTGTTACCGTTGAGTAAGTGAGATTTTCACTTTCCATATTCACCCTTAACCGTAGAAACAGGCTCTAGCAAATAATAAATAACTTTTTAAAGCAAATATCTAACTGATTGTTCAGACCTTTATACTAGTCTCAATACAAGAGAAAATACTAAATAGATAAATAGGGATATATTTCGCTACCTCTTATCCGGCTGTATAAAGCGGTGCTACAGAGAACCGCTGCTTTACTATGGTGTCGATGGAAACTGGCTGTAGCTAAAGTAGATCCATGACATGAGTTGTAGCTGAATTTAAAGATTCACTTAGTCGTTGCAAATTACTGTTGTCGAAGCACAAGGGCAAAAAAACGTCGTTACATTTCCGAAAAAAAGGAGCGTCATTGATTTAAGAAAAACCGTGTAGAACAGTTCAATTCACTACACCCTTATTGAAAGTATGAGTTATTCACGCGATGCTTTATTATTAAATAAGCAGAATAATTTGTTCCAGACGAAACCCATTGTAGTACCAAATAAAGAAATGAAAACATGCACATTGATGGTACCATAAAAGGAAGAATAGTGAAAACAATTCGAATAAGTTTATGATTTTTCATCAGAAAAGTAGTTAGTGGGTGTAATCCTTCTTTCACACTTGTTACAAATGGATTATAATTATTACCAAACAACCATCTTCTCGTAAGATAGTAAATTCGAACAGGACCGAATATCCGATGGAGAAAATCATGTGTTGCTCCGAAATTAAAAGCAGAAGATTTATGTAATTATTTTTGAATGACGATTTCTATAATATTCACCTATCAACAAAGACCGAAGTTGAAATATTATTTACAAGTAAATAACTAGTCTGTGTAAGTGGTGAGTAGAAACCAGTACGTTCAGAATAAACGATCTTCTTCAGTCCTACCGTATGATCACCCACAACCAATTGATGATTGAGCGTTTAGTTTGATGCACGTATAAACTGACTTTTCGTTTCACTCTTGACAATGACGACAATATTGTGTGAACCTGATAAACTTACTGAATGTCCCTGGATCGTAATAAACGTATAGAAATAAACTAAATTTCATTTATTTAATAATACTAAATTATAGCTAGAAGTTCTACAAACTTGTTGTCTTTGGTTCTGAATGCAACATGGCTATTATTTTGTCTTCAATAAAATATTTGTCATCATGACTCAACGTCCAGATACGATCTTCTACTTGTAGATTTCTAACAAAGCGTTGTCCTCCTTCTACTAGGTTGACATAATCTTTGCCAGAGTAACATCCTACAATTAAAAATTTTATTTTTCATGAATCGATAAAAGCATGCTTGATACGATTTGTATCATATCTAGCTCGGATAGAACAAATTTAAAACGATGTTGATCACTTTCTGATGTCGTTGTCGGCGTTGTTACAAAAAATGTTTTTACATATCCATTAGACAAAAATAAAATGACTGATAGCAGAAGACGTAGAGAGTTAGTTCGGACTTCAATTTATGATACCATATAGAATTGATACACCGACTCCTATCATCTGACGCATCAGATAAAGTTTGATCTACGACTTTTAATTATCATCATCACCTCCACTCCCAGAAGCGTTATCTAATAAGCCAACCCTGCTCAAGTTAAGCTGTTGCCATATTATTCGTACGTCTGTACCAAAATATCGAAAACTAACTTACACGTGGTAGCCGTTGCAGTTATTGTCGTCGATGTTGTAGAGCAGGTGGTACTCGTGGTTGTTGTTGATGTAGCGGCAGCGACTGCTGCAATTGAAGGATAGAAATGTTCCTTTTTGTGTACTCAAAAAAAAAAGAGTACACTATAGAATCGGTCAGTGTGTCCGGCCGTCCGTCTATTCGATAACTCTTCACAATTACATTCGATTGAGCGCTGAAATTTTGTGCACAGAATTGTCTTATCAATATCTAGGTCGAGTTCGAAGATGAGAAGGATCCGTCAAGAAATGGCTGAGTTGTCGAAAAAATTGTCATTTTTGATCAAACCATCCCTGAGGGGGAGTACAGGGATTTTTCAAAAAAACAATTTTCTCAGAATTATCCACAACATATATAAATCGACTCAGTTTTTAACGCTGATTCTGAATCTGATATTAGTTTTGAACTAAATCGTAGCTTTCTAACGAAACATCGCCTGAAAAACGTCTCAAAATGCACAAAAACTGCATCCAGAAATCAAATTGTCTAGTTTCTCATGATAATTTTGGTGTTCAGACATTCTAGACTGACTCATATGTCTCATGCACCTGTTGCAGTACACATAACTCTCGGATGAAATCCGAAGTTTCCACATTTATTTCTTTTTTGATATCACTTCGAGTTATTATGTTTGGCGGTGATTCATGAACTTTGGTGATTATCGTAACGAAAAAAAATTATTTATTAACCGAAAATAGAAAAAAACGTTTCATGATTGTTCAACAAAAAAAAATCTGATTTTTTTTATTCATTAATTGGAACAAAGTCATTTGAAATAAAAGAAGCAAGTCCTTGAAAGGGTTGAGATGATGATGGTGTTGCTGATGGTTCAGGGCATGGTCGTTTGTTCCCATTTGATTGTTCAGTAGTGGTGGGTCGTTTCTGAAATAGTTTCAAAAGCAACTCAATTATATAAAATAGATAAATTTTCCAATATTTTGTATGTCGAACTAATATGAAAGAATCATCCAATGTCGTTTTAAAGAGTTTCAATACACAAAAAGTAATTGAAAGACCAAGTATTCTAGTAATGAATAGTAATATTTTAGAACAAGCTGAGCGAAATTTAGAAAGATTCCTATAGGAAATAAACTTTGTTAGTCTGCAATTTCTGCGACATTCATACACATGAAAATGTAATTTAAGATTCTAACTTTCAACTTCCTTTTCAAACCCATTGCAACCTATTCGGTATCTACGAATGATTCTCAAACGGAAACGCGTACTATAGAACTCTTTGATTTCATTACTTTTTGTTTTGCCTTCTTTTGTGTATATACCAACACTAGATTCTCTGCTTTTGGTTTTTCTGGCAGATGATTTGAAAACTAACAAAAAGAAAATCATTCAAAAAACATTAAACGAACTTTTATCTTTCTATTACTTTAAGAATTGATCGATAGCGTTGAAACGTTAATTCGACTAATTCATCAAAACGTGAACTTTGACTAAAATCTGGGTAATTTTTAATTAAAGTGTATAATTTAATCGATACTTCAAATAGAAGTGGTAAAGGAACATTTGTTGTATCATTTCCATCTATGGATGATATGATTTTCAAACCTTCACGTTCAATCTCCTCACGTGTTTTAAGTAGAGCCTAATATATAAAAATAAAACATCTTCAAATAATTGAAAACACAAAAAAGTAAACCTTTTTTTTAATTGTTCGAAAAAGACTTTTAATTGCTTGTTGACATAACATTTTTCTTTCAACTTCTCGAAGATATTTTCTAAAAAAACGGAATTTGAAAAATCTCGATTATTTCCTTTTCGAAACTTCTACTTGTCAGCGTCTGGTTTATCCAATAATTGTCGAAAAACTTCCCATAATACAAATAAATGCTCATCAAATTGTAGAAGTAGTTCAACAAATAAACGAGTTGATTTATACATTGAAGCATTAAACGAGCCAGTGCGATCAGCATCAATTGGTTGTATACGCCAAATACCCTATGAAAATAAATCTATATCATTTATCGTTTATCCCTTGTTTTCAACTGACATTAAATAAATTATGTTTTGACCTTTCTTGATAGAGGCCGATAATTTTCGGATAGTTTTTTAATTCAAGTGCCCCTCCACCAAGTAGAAATTCAAGACTAAGTCGATCATTTCGATAGTGTTCATTTGAATGAAAGAAATGTGCAAGACGATAGAGCGCACGATAGTGACGATTATAACGAGCAATACATATATAAAGACCTTCGATACATAACCATACACATTTATTGTATACAGTTAACCAAGGATCAGTGATGAGATCTGAACAAAATCAAAAAAATAATTGTTATAGAAAATTTAATAAAAAAAAACCAGTTACTTGTTTTTTGAGGAAAATATATTTCACTGATTAATTGACTAGAATGAGCATCACCGGGGCTAAAACAAAAGAGATAAAATTGTATGATCAAATGCTCGTGCAGCTTTTCTGTCTGGCGAATTTCAATGGAGTTTCATTTTGCATCTTGTCTCTTTCAAATAATATAAGAAAACTATTAGCATACAACTGAATATATCGCTAATGGCAATAGTTCAGGTCAAGAAGGTACTCGGAACTTGAAAGCAGAAATCCTATGAGCGGATTCAGTTTCACCTGCTCTAATTATGCAACTTACATCGTTGATTTTTCGTAATAGCTTGTTGCAAATGGTTTATTTTGCATTTCAGTTAAAAATTCATAAAATTCATTTAACTTATCGATTGTCAAATCGACTGATTCTTTACTATGACGATTCAAGTATTTAAGAGTGGATGCATGTATTCGATAGAACATCTAAAGTATCGATAAAAAAAATCAGTATTTAGTTTTTTGTAAGTTACAAAATTTTACCTCAACAGCATGGCAACCAAGTAGAGTACCCTTTGAATTTGATGTCGATGTATAATGGCCAAGTTTACGTGGATAAAGTGCTTTGTTTTCATGTAGAAGATCGAGAGCCTAGGAATAACGCGTGTAATACATTCAACGAGTGGCAAAGTCCTTTTCTTTTCTTACAGCAACATATTTTTTCAATGGATCAAATAATCGATTTCGATGAAGTTTTTCTTCAATTTTAGCCATCATATATAAATAAGTCCAATCTTCTTTGTTTTCATCATTGTCTGTGCATGCATTGGCTTTTTCATATGCTTCTTTACATATATTCAATAAAAACGAACGCTCCGGAACATAATCTGTTGCTTTTTCTTTCTATATGAAAAATTCAAGATTTTGTTTTTTTTATTAGAAGAAATTTTCTTTACATATTTTGAACAATACGATTGTAGAATATAAGTTATTTCAGCATATTCCATCCAGAGCGTATGATTATTACTTTCAACAGAAACAGCTTGCCGAAAAAAGCATGAAGCAGACATATGTACATTGAATATTCGCGGATCAAAATCATCAGCCTACAAAATAAAGAAAATACTAATAAGTATTTTCGAATAGAAGTCAGATGGCTTGATCCCGACTAGACCAATAATATTTCATCGAGAGCGATGAACAGCGAATCGTCTTTAAGCAATATTTCTCAAAAATCATGCATCCGGACGTATTCATTCGAATTAATCTCACGTTGTTTTCCTGCTATGGAGATATTTACGTATATATCAGTTCATGATGATTATTTCAAATTCTTATTTCTGAGATTTTCGTAGAAACAACACTTTCTTTATTGAAGTACTTACAGTAATAAATTCGTCGATTTTATAAAATTCAATAACAGTCAAACCAGCCCATGAATCGAATCGTTTTGTATTAAGGCATAAATCTTTGATATAATATTCTTGTGCTTTTCTAACCAATAAAAATATTCATATGAGCACAAGTAAAGCCAACCATAAGTTGTCCCTATTTAACTTACTTTTTTGATGATTCATTCGTTACGGCATCTTTTGAGCCCATTTTAAGATAATAATCAGCAAAAAGATAATATAAATCTTTTTCAAACAAACTAGAAAGATGCTAAATTTTTGACGAAGCAAAAAATCAAAAAAATATAAACTTACGAATTATTTGATTTGAACTGTTTAGCAGATAGATGAATCAATTCTTCACTTTGTTTTCCTTGGCTATTGATCGATGCTGCATCAGCTATATGAGATAACAAAATTTTTCGTCGTTGTTCACGTTCATCGTTCCATTCAATCATTGATTCAAATCGTTGAAAAAGACTTTCCGTCTAAACAAATAATGCCGCCTATTTCATCCTGCGATGGTTTTTCCCCATTTCGTTACCTCGTTTGTTATCGTACAAAGACGACCTTCATAACCAGGTAAATGTTTCGGCCGTAAAGCATAAAAAACAATGCTTGCTTTATCTAATGTTAATTCAAGCTAACAAAAATATTTCAAGCCAACTTAGAATTTTTTCATAGAAAAGATTAAATACCGATCGACAATTGTGATCATTTAGATATTTCATTTTCGATTTACGTAGAACGAGACCATACAGACAGTAAATACATTGTTCGATTTCATCCATAAATTTTGATAATTTACTCTTTTGTTCATCGGATGTTTCCGATGATTCAGTACCATTCGTTGTATTAGAAAATAAACGTTTTCGAATATCAGGATGTTCAATTTGAATAAGTTCAATCAGAAAATATTCAAGTAAAGCACCAGATTCAACAAGGCAATTTTCATTTCTATTATTTATTAAACAAAATAACGAACAATAGTTCAATTGTATCGAACAATTAACTTACTTTCCAAATAATTCATGAACTGTTCTAACATATGTCATTAGAAATTGTTCATTCTTTTTTGGATCCCGTCTAATAAAATAAAATACATATAGGAAAAACAAATCAAAATTATACGAACTTAATTGTCACACGATAAGCAAGAATCCATGGTTTAATAGATTTAAACGGCCATATATTATCTGACGCAGTTCGTTTCATTATCGAATCAATTAAAGCTAAAGTTAGCTTTTCGATGGTTTTCAGCGATGCATCTGGCCATTGAGAATCTTCATCGAGAATCCTTAATAAATGATTTTTCGGTTATTTTTATCGAAATAATTTCAATATTCGGAGGTGTTTTATCAGTCTGAATGATGCTAATCAACAGTCAAATCATCACAATACATTAGTTTATATTACGCTCCTGTCAGTTCTATATGCAGTTTGAATGACGTACAGCTGAGAATGATAGGAATCCGGCGAACGCATTTGGTGATCGGCTGCACCGATGCACAAACTATTGCAATTCATATAGAGCATATAAGATAGCCTCAATACGGCTTCAGAGAAATACCCAACTAGAGAGCTGCGGACTCGCGATTATTTGATCCTAGGCCCGATTATATAATCTAGTCAACTTAAAACCTTATTTTCAAGCATTTAGTTTCTTACTTAATGATCATATCAATAACTTGAATGAAAATCTGATCGAGTATTTTTCTAACATTGATATTTTCTTTTTCATTTAAATGTAGATTTTCATTAAGAACATTGACGAGCGTTTCGTAACATTTAATTAATGATTTTTGTTGTAGATGTGTTTCTGTTTTTAAATTAGCATAAAATAATTTAATTTTTTTCTCCAATTTTTTGATTAATAATGCTAATTCATCGTTTTCTTCCGCAACAGCAATACGCGATAGGATATAGGTTAATTCTTGTGAAGATGATGAACTTGATGATTGTTCGGATGAAATTTCATTATTGTTTTTCAATCGTAAATAAAGTTTTTCAACGAAGCCTTTAATTCAAGTCTAGTTTTATTCATAAAAAAACAATTTCTGATTTACTTTTAGAAATCGTTGTATGATTGAAAAAATTCGGTAAAATAATCGTTGTTGTATCTGGTAGTAAATGCTGTAATTTATATATACAAGCTAAAGCATCATCTTGAACATCAGATAGGAAATAGTAGAGTGATGATATCCATAGAACTAAGTTTAAAAAGCAAACGTTACGTTTTATTCGATAGATAAATGAAAATATTTACTTCGATAAAGTATATCATCCTCGTCGAATTGCTTCTGTTGAATAGAACTGTTTTTAAATAAATACATAAAAAGTTGCAAACGGCCGAAGCAATAACCAAGTGATTTGTATTTAATTTTTAAACGAGCAAAACAACTGAATCTAAAGTAAAAGACACGATGCAAAAGTGTATGTTTCAAAAGTTTAATTCTACCGCTCAATGGAATCTTCAGATAAATCAGATTTTGATGATCCAACAGCATTTTCAACATAGCATAAACAAGCACGTAAATGACTGGATTCAAGTTCAGCTAAAGCAAATCTTAGGTTTTTTTCAATACTTTTATCTATCAAGAGAAAACTACTTGATGAATATTGCACATTGTCAAGTAGACAATCAAAAAGTTTCGTAAAAATTGTTCGAACTTCGGTCGACCTACAAAAGAAGATCAGATGCATTCAGATGTTTTCTATTCGATATTTCAAACGTAAAACTATCAAAGATTTAAGTCGTGCTGTGTGAAATACAGAAGAGGATAACTTTCTCAATGGCAATAAACCGGTAAACACCAGAACACTAATATAATGAAAATTTATTTTCCAAATAAAACTAACCATGATGTCGAAGAATGCTTTGTAAGCTCATTAACGCCATCACATATAAGATCCAGATAATGATATTGATACCCATCTTGAATTCTCTGTTCAATCGTTTGAATAAATGATTTATAATCAATTTGTAGCGGTGGAAAATTTTCTTTTTGGACTTCAGATAATTGTGTGGAAGTTGTTTCTAAAAGAAATAAAGTTATTAATTATTATTTTTTTTTATTGAATCAATACTCTTTACCAGCATCATTATTTTCCGGTGAACCAGTTGTTTCATCAGCTTCATCGTCAGAACTAAATAGATAAAACAAAGTCGCTATCGAAATACAATTAGTTTAAATCAGCAGAAAAATATTCTCATTTAAATTTCTTTCTATCAGATAAAAGTACAGGATGGTGGCCGTATGGAATAATAATTGCGAGAGCGAAATATTAATTTTTCTATCCTAGATTAAAATCTCGCTCTACTGTCTTATTAGCAACTATAAAATGATTTAAAACAGGTCGCTAACGGCTGCATGCGTTTTATTTGTAGAGTAGATTATCGGGTTATTCAATCTACTGAAAATTCTACAGAAAAAATGTAGAGATCCTACGAAAAATCGTCTGATAGTCATTCTATTATATCTGATAAGGAAAATCATCTTCTACCAGTTTGAACTTTCGTGCGGGATTTTAAAATAAAACTGCAAACCTGTTTTCATTATTGGATAACATTCGGCGTAATTTATCGACTGTACTAACATTAGTATCGTCTATTATTATACGAGTACTCTAGAACATAGATATCAAATTGTTTACTTTGAAGATAAATATTTATTTCAAACTGACACTTCTTGCTGATCGTCGTTTTTCATAATCATCAATATTTAACGGCAAACTAGAACGTTTCTTTCTATGAGTAGTTGGTTGAGGCGGTTGTTCTTCGGAGACAACGGGTGCTTCCACGGTCGGCTCGTTTGCAGTTTTTTCAATAATAATCTGTGGTTTGGGTACAAAATTTTTAATATCAACTAATTTGCATAGTTTCTAAGAAAATAAAATAATAAAATAAATTTTATTCAAAAAAAAAACTAATCCTACCGAATTGTCACTATTAGATTCTCGTATTTTCTTTACTAAATATTGACCAAAATCTTGAAAACTAAAAACGAAGAAATTTTATTTCCTAAAATGTAATCTTTTCTTTTCTATTCTTACTTCTCTATTGATAGATTTTCATCTAGAGTCTTTCTTTCTCTATAAATAGTTTTCTTTTTAAATAATTTCTCTTTGAATCTTCCAATATTTCTTTTTAATTCTTCAACTTTAGCTAACAAATTTTCATCACAATTGATATATTCGATTTCATTGGTAAACATTTTTTGAATTAAAATTTTCATTGAGGGTTGACTTTGTTCCAGTAAAACTAAACATAGTTGTCCAAAGTCATACATCGATTGATGAGTTGCAACATGATCATATCCAATGCGAATATATTCAAGGCATTCTATAAAATAATTTTACTACGTAGATTTTATTTACTTAGAAAAATAATTACTTGAGAAATTTCCCAGAGTGAAATAAAGACAAATTATTTGTTCGAGACATTTCCAATGAATATGTTCGTTACTAATTTCAATTGTCTAAGAGAAACGGAAAAAAAAGGTAAAATCAATCAAAGGAAAATTTTTAGTGTTTCTTCGTGTATCAGCTGGAAGAGTTTATCAAGGTATATGCACGGGTTTTTTAAATTTCACTGACGGAAATTTTCAGATGACCTATTTTTACAGAAAAAAGAAATAGGTCAAATTTTTGTAACCAATCAATTTTCATTCCCGTTGGGATTCGCAACTCAATCAAACAAACTTTACATTACTGACTTGTTATAAATTACTTTTTCAAAGCATGTTTTCACTTGATAAATATTTCCTAATTCGAGATAACACATTCCCATTTCATAATAAATCGTTGATACTCGATTGTTTATTGAATTAGCCTAAACATAATTTTTCTATTCAGAAACACAATATTTCAAATGAATTGGATCAAACTTTTTCGAAATAGCCAATAGCTTTTTCATGTAAACCTAATTTTCGATACCAAATTCCACATTCTGCTAATACAGTCCATTTCAGATTGATTCTTGATCGTTCATTCTCATGATTATGATTTACAATTGTTTTTTCTATACATTCAAGTTTTAAGATTCGTTCAAGCAATTGAATTTTATGTTGATCGTTGATGGAATTAGCATTTTTTACTTTTAGATAATCACCATAAATATCTTGTGCTTGTGTTACCTAAGTTATTTATTGAGAAATATTTTTATCAAACAAATACGAACAAATTATACTTGATCTTTATCATGTTCGATAGCATTGAAAAGATCATCAAGCTGAATTTCACCTCGACTAGCATCAATCATCATCGTTTCAGAAATATTCCAAGATGAAACATAAAATAGTTGATTGTCAATGAAAATTCGATTTTGGTTTACGCTCTTTTATTGTCACACACTCTGAAGTGCTTACAAAAAATGAAAATACGATCACTGGTTATCGCGAACAACAAATAAAAAATGTTCAAGATTTTCACATCTAGTGTCATCTATGTTTTTCTTTGACGCTTTTTTAAAGAAACAGAAAAGCAAAAGACTATGCCAAAAACTTCTAGAGAAACTTATACGCATCATATCAAAGTCTGACGTCAGTGCCCGATCGAACTATTCGCACATTGGCATATGCATTTTTTCTCAGTAGTTTATTTGTTCCCAAATTGTTTCAATCTAAATTCGAAATACGAGTGCAAATGAAAGAAGAAAAATTGCGTGGTTGTTTTAGTTAATAAACACCCTCGCAACTGACAGAATTCCCATAATATTTGATATAACTATAGTATTGCCGTAAGAATCGACGTATAAAAGGAGCTGTTAATTGTCTTTCATCTTCACTCGAATTTATATTCAGTTCCCATTCAAAACATATAAAAACAATGAACGCTGCTCTCACCCTTATCTTCTTCGCCTGTGTTGCTGGCTCCATGGCTTCGGATGCTCGTGGTCAAATCGTTGATCAACTTCTCCAACAAGGACAAGTTATCGCTCAAAGCGTTATGAGTCTACTTCAACAACAACTCTTTGCCATCGCTCAACAAGCCATTGGTCAAGTTCAATCACTTATTGCTTCAATTGGCCGATTCGACATTGACTTCAACGCAATCTTGAACGCCATCAAACCTTTGATCTCTGGACAAATCAACCAAGTTCTTGCTCAACTTCTTGGTAGTCTTCAAGGTCTTATTGGTGGTATGTAATAAATTCAGTTTACAAAATTTGCCTACACTCATTTGAATCTATGATAATTAGGTCGTGCTTCATTTGACTTTGCTGCAATCTTCCAACAACTTCTCGAACAAGTCAAACCAGCCATTATGGGACTTGGTCAACATATCCTCAACCAAGGTTTATCCGCTGTTCTCGGTGGACTTAGTAGCTTAAGTCAATCACGTGCATTTAGTGATATCTTTGCTTGTAAGTTGAAATTAATTCAATGTTCGATGTAAAGACATTATATTTCTTTTAGCAATTTCATCCCAAGTCAGTGCTGCTGTTACCGCCGCTCAAGGTGCCGTCACCGGTGCTCTTAACAACCTTGTTGCTATTGGTTCAGGTATTGTTGATGCCTCAAAACCACACTTCCAACAACTTCAAGAACAACTCATTGGTCATGGACTCAATGCTCTTGGTTCACTCTCCGAAACCATCAACAACCTTCATGGTTCAGTCACTGGTAGCCGATAAGCGATAGATCGTGCATGGGATTTTATTTATCATTACCTCTAATTTAAAATCATTATATCTTATTACAACATTATTTATTCGTCCGTCCGTGAATGATGAGTTCGGATGAGCTTGAATAAAAATTCTATCGTCATTCTGACGTACTAGAAAAATATTTTAAAATTCTATTTTATCAGTCGAGCGACATAGATCTAAGCTAGGATGTTGATTAATGTGCTCATAGAAAATGTGTGCGTAATCATTCATATAACTCTCTCTCTCTTGAGAGATAGACAGAAAAATAGATATGCTAATGAATTCATTTTTTGATGCCCTCGTTTTGAGTTGATTTCCTTAGAAAAATATTAACATTCGACGTGTATGTGAGTGCAATTATTAGTACGTCAAGTTTGCAATATCCGATATCGAAAATATCCTACTAAGATATAATTGCTAATTCAAACACATTTATAAGCAATCAGTAATAAAATTTATCGCAGGAGTGCACATCATAATTGATTAAAAAGAACATTCTGCTTTGAGTTACGAAAGCAAGTACAACTTATTTTTAAAACCTTTTTGCATTTTCTCTTATACACTGAAGTATTAATTGGTTATAGGCTCAAGAGGAAAAAATCAATTGAGCGAGTTCAATACAATGATGATAACAGTAAAAAAAGGCAACTTTTTTTCGCATTCATCGCCCGAGATTATCTCCGTCAAAGTTGAAATATTCAAAGTATTGACAGAGTTCGAAGTTCTAGTTATTTTGATTCATTGGACATGCATTGCAAAGCGTTGAATGCGTAAAACAAACTAATATACAAATGAAAGATATTATTACATTAAAATTATCGATAACGCCGTCGGCACACAAAATATGTTTAGCGTAAAATGACGACAAAAACAAGTGACTGAAACGAACGAAATATCAATGAACCAGGGAGAGCGCTATAAATATTTCATCATCTATTTTATTGCATTTTCCCAAAAGAATCATAATATGATTTTGTTAGTTTGTGAATTTATGATAGCCCGGCGAACAAAAGAAAGCATCATATCTTTTGTTTTATAAAACTACGGACCCACAATACTTATTTATAGATGAAAAAAATATATATATAATAAGTCACATTGATCAAATTTCTTCAAGCTATTTAATGAATTTTTTAAACTCAAGGAACATATTGCTGATAGCGTGCTATACTACGTAGAAAGTAGTATGCACACAATCGATTTGGTCCAGCATTTCTTAAGCTCTAATCAGCAATAGCCTATAGAAAAAGTCTCAATGATTCATCAGCTGTATTTACGAGAACATGTTTTTTTCTGTGAGAACACCAATATTTTTCATCAAGGGTAAAAAGAAAATTTTAAATATCTCACGTCCTAATTAATATATATGAAACATTTCGAAAGCATGCTGAATTGATCTCCCGATAAAGAAACAAGAAGCAATAGCATTGTATTTGACTTTTTATCAGCTTAACCAATATCCTCATCTGTAGCAAATCGAATGAAAATAATCTCAAGTCAACTTTCGTCCTCAGATTGTTAAGTCGTAAGACTAAAATTTATTCGTATTGAAATTTCTATTCAAAAAATTCGTTTATCAATGTCTCTGTGAACACCGGTTTTGAAAATTAAATACCTTTAGCTTTTCCGTGTATTATCTTTCAAATCGAATTATGATGCCAGCAAGATAATGCAAACAGTGAACCCGTAACACTTAAGTTCAATACTATATTATGAATTTCTATTCTCTAATTTAACATAAATGAGTATGTTTTTATTTTAATTTCAAGTTGTCATATAACAAATATAGTAGAGACAAATATTATCACCAAAACAAAAAATACACGCTGCAAAATAATCCAGCACAAAATATAATTGACTATGTTATTAATCGTCTTTAATTTTCGACAAAACAGAAAGAAGAACGATCAAATTATATACACGATATTTATAAAATATCTGCTGTATGCATTGCTCGTTTCGAGCACAAATCGATATAATCTGTAATATCATCATCATCATTGCCATAATCATCGTCGTCGTCATCATCGTCATCATCATCATCATCACGATCAGTATTTTCAGTTTCATTATCATTCCAATTATCGAGTTCAAATTCTGGACTAAATGGTGGATGTTGGTTTCCATCTTCACGATCGTTTAATAAACGATTGATTAAAAACGATGCACACGTCGTTTGAGGAAGATGTTGAGATGTTGACGGCAAATTTGTTTGTTGTTGTTGTTGTTGTTGTTGTTGCTGTTGCTGCTGCTGTTGCTGTTGCGTAAGAGCGTATTCAGATGATATTGATACAGGTACGAGTTCACTTTGTACACGAAAAAAACCATCTCTTCGCATTGTATAACTGAAAGAAGTTACAAGATAAATTTTTTAATTGTAAAACTTAAAAAACTAAGCTCATTTTTATAGCTTCGGAAATAGTCCGGTTTACAAATCTGGCATTAGTTCAGCGATAAAACTCAGACAAAGTGTCGAGAGCATCCTTTGCTGCCAATACGGGTATGCTGATTATTGTTTTTACGAGAGTGAAAAGTTCGCTTAGAAATCAACTCTAAAACTGTTATAAAATACATTCTTGGGATATCATGTGGCTTGGTCCGAAAATGCAAAACTAATATATTTTAACAAGCAGAAAAATATCGCATACGCCGTTATCAGAGAATAAATTATCCCACGAACGAGTGATCAGCCGATTTTCTAAATGGATCTCAGGTCGATATGATTACAGAGCTCAGTGTATGTAATATTTGATTCCTCATGGCTAAATGGAATACCAATGCTAACCTTAATCTAGTACACCCCATCGCTTTTCCAAGTTGATGAATTTTCAGTAAATGTGCAGTTAATTTTTTTCCACGTGAAAAACATCGATTGCATAAATGGCATGCATATTTGTATTGAGGCTAAAATTAATCCATAGACATTCCATTTTATTTAGGAAAACCTTATTTTACTTTTTTTTTATCATTCGAATCAGTAGGCTGCTGTTTATCTTCATCACCGTCATCGTCATTTATTTTATCTAACAGCGGAAGTAAATGGAAACGACGTCGGTGAACTGTAAGACTATTCGCACATTTAAAACTATAAAAAAAAAGAAATGAAGTCAATGCAAAAACGTTTTTTTTAAATCCCTACGAAAGTGAACAATCAGGGCATTGAAAATATTTGATATCTGTATGTCGATAAATAATATGTCGTTTAACACCCGATGGAGTTGAAAATATTTGTGTACAATATGGACATGCGTGTTTGGTTGCTGAAGAAAAATAAATTTCATCTGCTTTTCTAAGATTATGATCGATTACCATGTTTATTCAGATGTTTTTGGAGTAGAGATTTCGATTGAAATTGTTGCGCACATTTGTCGCATTGAAAATTGGGTGAAACTAATATAATAAAAGGCATAGGAACCGATGGCAATTGAAATCAGTGTTAAATACCTTCCGTTGATAATTGGCAATGTTCAATAAATTTAACTCCACACGAAAATAATGAACCACAACGTGAACAAGCTATCGTTTTTTCTTGCGTATGTCGACGAATATGTTCTCGAATTCGAGATGGTTTATCAGGCCGATGCGTGCAACCTTAAAATAGGATTCATTTTTCAACGAGAAAATAAAATATGCGCAAATATTTTCTATTGTTCCGTATGAATACATTGTACTAGAGTCTTATCTGCGTGTAGGTGTATAAAAAAAGAAACAATCCGAGTATGAATTTATAATAAAATTTTCATCTTCTGGTTGAGATTCATAGAAAAAAACTCGCTGCACAGTGTGAGCGACCAGGGTAGATATGTATTTGGTTAGCACGCTTGTATCATCAATTTAAACGTTATACGTGATTAGTTATGAATTTGAAGTGATCAAACTCAAATTATCAGTATGATTGTTACCTGTCCACCGACACACATCGGAGCCAGCATGTTGATTTACATGTTCATAGAAAAGTTGTGCATGACTATTGGTGAACTATACGAGATGGAGAGAAGAAATTAAAGGTTTCATGTAAAGCTTTTAATTACTTGACAATCTCCCCATGAACAACGAAATTCTACAGGTAAATCTGGAATAATATTTCGATTTTCAATTGATTTTTGACATGGAGGAATATTGGGATGATTATGTTCGCATGTTTTCATTCCAAGATATTTTAATTTTGTATGAAAACCATGAAATTGTACGTGCCGAATAAAAGATGAAATGTCGATTTCTTCTACATGGCCACAATTGCGCCATTGGCAAGTTAAATCTATAGAAGAAATTTTAATTTTCTGAAATTTAACATACTCATTTGTTTTTCTTATTACTTGGTACTTGTTGATATTGATTAATATAATGCGAAAGATGTTCATCCAGATGTCGATAGAATTCTTTGAGATCCTTTAATCTAAGACTACATTCTGCACCCCACTCACATTGTAAATCATATTCGAGTTCACTTAAATTTGGTATGTAACGTTTTAGCCGTCGCTTAGTAGTCATTATCTAAAAAGAACAAAAACAAAAACTACTGATTAACAGAAAGTAGAACTAATTGTTTTTGGCTACTCAGCAAAAAGAAAACGAAGAAGATATTTATTCTCGAACTACTCAATCGTTACTTTTATCTTTAAATAAATTTAAATGAATATCAATCATGAATGATATCAAATTATGTTTAGTTCGAATATCAGTAACATGAAAATCATTCAGTTGTATTTCTTTTTGATATTTAAAATGAAGAAAATTACTTGTATGATTAGCGATTCAAATAGATGTTGATGTTATATTAGATAAAAAGTAACGACAAATATAAGTTCAAAGCTTGACTGTCTGTATTCTGATGTTGCAGCAATTTTTTCTTATCGTTTATCATTTCTGTTTGTCGTCATTTTATCTAAAATAAAATACAATAGCATTCGAAAAATTTTGATCTAAATCGAAAAAATGATTTCTTTTTCTTTTTACAATAGTATTTTTTTATTATTTGCCACGTTTTTAATGACGATGACACAGTGATTAGTAATTTAAAAAGATGTATCGTAAAATGATAAACATACGACCAGATTTTTTTTTCTCCTCAATCGCTAAAATGTGTCGATAAGGAGAGCAACGAATCAAAATATAAAAATGTAACTTCTTCGCTATAGCTAACGACATCTCGATTTGTGTGGATCCACATCGATTAATTTGAAGCTCATGTGATTTGTTTCATTGACTGAACATTTTCATAGATGTCATAATACCTTTACACTGAGTATCGAGTCTTTTACGTCACAATACCCGGTAAATTCCCGCTTCGCCGAATCTTTTTTTTCGTCGACGCCTATTTTCGCCGACTCCAACTTCGCCGAATAAAAATCTTGACCGAAAAATATCGAATCAAATTTGATCCATTCTAGATATAGAATTTTATCCTAACTAACTAGTTTAATGTTGACTTGATTAATTAACCACATCTGACTTGGCAACCATCTGAGTTGGTAGCCAACTGACTTGGTAACCAAGTCAATTATACCTGCTGCCTTGTTTAAACAGACGCCAACAGGTGTAGATGTGAGTGTGGGTGTGGGTTATCAACTCAGATGGTTACCGAGTCAGTTGGTTACCAAGTCAGTTCAGTTGGTTAACAAGTCAAATGGTTAACAAGTCAGATCGTTACCAAGTCAGATGGAATTAATTAATCAAGTCACTATTAAACTAGTTAGTTAGGATAAAATTCTATATCTAGAATGGATCAAATTTGATTCGATATTTTTCGGTCAAGATTTTTATTCGGCGAAAATAATCGTCGGCGAAAATAAAATTCGGCGAAGCTGTACTAATTCTCAATATGTGAGAGAGTAACGGTATATAGTTTGAAGGAGAACTATTTTTGAAAATAAAAGTATATATATATATATTCTCATTGATATTGTTTTAATATGTTATGTCTAATTAGAATTAGAATTAGAATATAAATGGTGCCCCAACTGCCTGCTATCAATTAGGAAAGGGCGTGGTGTGTGTATAACTGTACGGGAGGGACCGGAGTATTTTTTTATTTATACATTTATATGAGAATTGATCTAGTACTAAATCTGTTTCTACAAAAATCTAGTCGTTTTTCGTTTTTGAATGTCCGTTGATATTCGATCTCGAAATAGGAAGCTTCTCACAGTTTGATATTGCCAGAAAATTCCTTCCCGACTCATCTTCTTCTGTAACCCATCGTATTTGGATTAAAGCGAAAACATTATCTTTTATAGAAGAGATTAATTACATGACTTTTGCCATTAATTATTTAATGGAAACAGTTATAGGAGAATAAAAACATGTGGAAACACACAGGAAAATACTTTTTCGTTTAGATCAACGATACAATTGGTTTATTGGTATAATTTAGTTATAATTTGCGTGCTTGCAAGTTTCAACCTCTATGCAAATGATGAGCCTCCAAAAACAGTCCAACGATAGGACACGACTACTGTCGTTCCTCATAAAGAGAAAATGTCTATCGAAATAGCAGTTGAAAATGGATGAATTCGCTGTTGCAATTCGTTTGACTGTTGAAAACTCAAGATGGATGTCGGCGAACGTTGATCCACATTGACGCCCGTACCCTGGCAGTCATCAAGCCAAATACGAAATTAATTGCTTTCGCTTTTATTATTTCCCGTTAGCGGATTCTATAGAAAAAGTCAAAAATAAGGAAAATTTCATCATAATAACATGCTGATCGCCTTTGAGATGAGTATTCTTTAAACTGTACTATATTGAAAACACAAAACACATAAAAATACAATGCAAATCATGATTGATTCATTCGCTCGCTCATTTACACTTAATGTGTGTTCTATCAATTCGAACAAAAACCAAAATCAGAGAGCTGTCTTTGCAGATGCACCGTGTTTACACACTTTTCTGCCAAAAATAAGAATTTCATGCAATGCGTACAATTCTACAAGCGAATAAACTAGAAGTACCAAGGGTGTTGTAAGGAAATGAAATAGATTTCGTAGAACGAAAATGCATTCTTTAACGTCCAATAATTTTGGAATAAACATATCGATGATAAAAGCCACAAGAAATGTCGCCATCTGTGCACCAAACAAGCAATACATAATTAATGTAATGATCGGCGGAACATCACGAACGAGTAAAAGCATCGAAACCATAGACGTTACACCGTATAAACCAGCTGAACAAAGAAGAATTCCATAGTAAATCATAAAACTAATGCCCCACGAAAAAGCAGCAATGATTGGAATTCGTTTTGCTTTGATAACAAAATAATGAAAGACTTCGGCTGCTCCTATTGTCCATCGACGAGCTTGTCGTGCCCATTCAATGATTTCTTTTTCGATTGTTTCTCCGCTCGTTGGGCCACTAAGCACAGGTACAGGAATCATTGATATCACTAAGCGCCGTTGCGTGACGCCCATCCAACGAATCAAACAAATGATATCGTCCATTTGATAAGCGGGATGAATATAATTGCCCTTTTTTGCCAAACTCAACGAATATGAAAATATGCTCATCGTATTGATATTAAACGGAATCAATGCACCTAACATGAGCATACTTCGAAGTAGACCTATCACACGAGTAAAAAATGATAAACCATCTAATTTCCAATTATAAAATAATGGCGATTGATAGATAGTTGTTAACGCTGGCCGATTCTGTTTCAAATATTGATGTGTTAATGCAGCAATATATTGTGGCGGAAATTTTGAATCTGCATCACAGGTTGTCACCAAAATATTATCAGTTTCTTGATCGGGTATAGCCATTTGTTGAACGCCTATACGAAGACCGTAATTTGAATTGGAACACTTGCCCGGTATTTCATTGGGCAGACCGTATGGATGAATAGTGAATAGCATGCGTGTGAATCCACACTGACCAAATTGTTTTTTGAGTAACTGACATTTTTCTTCTTTATTCGGCGTTCGCTCTTCAAATGAAACGATCATTGTAATTTTATGTACTTCAGTTTGATTAGCCACTGTTTGAATACTTTGCGCAATGAGTTCAATTGGTTCTTTGTAACAACTGATTGCAACAATATGATGAATATTTACGTTTTTCGTTGTGGCATTCATTCTACTAAAATCATGATAACGATTTAGATATAGAATCAATGCATTTTTTAGAGCCAACATTGAAATTACTAAAGAAAAAAAATATATTCTCAATAAATTGAATTAGGGTAGAATCACTAAGATTCACTCACTTATCCACATGCCAACAAACACCGCTTGGATAGATGGAATGATAAAATATGCAATTCGATTAGAAATAAATGGTATCCATAATGGGAATGGTACAATTATCCAAAGTAAAATATTGAACAGGAGATTCCAACGGAATCGTTGACTACCTTCTTTAATATCACGATGAAATGTTAAACCTGTTTCAATCATTGTGTGAGGTGTTGGCATAGATAAATGATGACTATCGTTCTTTGTTGATTCGTTACCCGCATGTTGTGCTTGTCGTTTCCAATCAGCAATCTGTTGTCTTATATGCAATGGTAGGTGAGGTTGTGCCACTGTTTGAATCGAATCATCGTCTTTAATGGACATTCGATCACCTTCTTGAGTTAAGGGTTTGCTTTTCTTCTCGTTACTTTCATTGCCAAGTGCAGAACAGTCGAGTAAACGAGGCGCACTGAGGCAGCGTACGAGTTTTTTTGTATGTATTTGCATTTTGACCCTATTGTATTACACACGACTATAAATGTGAGTTGTGTATGAATAATCAATTAGCAACATTTATATCAGTACGTTTTGCTTCAACTCTCTGCATGGGAAAATGTCAGACTCAAAAATGGACTTCCTTTGTCTGTACTATTTTTAAAACCTGCTGTCATGATGATAACATTCTGCGCCGTCCTCTTGTTATTGTATGCGTACACGAATTTCACAGATTTTAACTTGCTATATGGGTTTCAATGTATAACTGATAACCTGCACAAAACATTCTTATCATTCAGCACAATAGACTGCCATATGGCATCTAATCACATCAGTTCTGTACTGTCAAAGAAAATATTTCGTTTACGCTGATGTTTTTCCGCACTTCCTTCATTGATCCCTGAATGCACAGTTGATTTTTATGACGCATACAAAATGTAAATATACTCTAAAAAGCTCGGTGTACTATATTGAAAGAAGCAGCAAAAATCATTTTTGATTCATATTTTACGATTACATAATCGCCTATGCCTACAATGTTTTATCTTGTCATGATGCTGATGGCAGTTTACCATATGAGTTGGGGACAGTTGAATAATGAAAGTCGATGGCTAGCAGTTCAACCAAATTCGAGTGACTTTGTTCATACGCTTCCATTTCCTAACTCTGTGTGCAAATATAAATTTGGCAGTCGCGAGACAGGTGGTTTGTATACATTGTTCGAAGCTGAGTATTTGACGGATGGCCCTGGGCGGCATATTCACACGCGAGAAGATGAACTGTTCCAGATTATTGATGGTAAGGTACAATTCTTTGTCAATGGAAAACAATTATGTGGTTCGACTGGTGATTATGTGTTTGTACCGCGCAATACTCCATAGACTATTCGCGTACACAACATCAATAAACTAAAAAGACCAGTGCGCATACAAATTTTATTAGCACCAGCTGGTTTGGAAGGTTTTCTGGATGAAATCGCTCCATTATATTTCACTGGTCAACACAATATCACATTACAAGATGGGTTTGCAAAAAAAATACGGAATCATCAATTTGGAACCTGTTGATTGGAAAGATCTTGGGTGTTTTCCTGATGACACGAGTAATTCTAAAGAAACGAATAGTTCAAATCGAGTGACGCCACTGTTTTCATCTCTCATTTCTTTCGTTAACAATATTTTCTAAATAAATGTCTTCATCTAATAATCATATCTGTGCAATCTCTCTGACCTATTTCGATGATTATGAGCTCTAATGTCTACAATTCAGGAGGCTACATATTCATCTATCGAGTCAATTATAAATAATAGAAACTACATAATTACTGGCATCAACAATATTCATCAATTCGCGAAAGTCTGGAATCGCAAAATATGCTGTCGACGTCTGATATCCTTTAATCAATGATCAAACAATTGAACTCCATATTAATAACTCTTTCAATACTGAAATTTCGAACATAGCTTTTCTCTCAGGTAATAAATGATTCCCCCTGTAACCTGAGAAAATTCCAAACGAAACTGTTAGTAGTTCACATGATTACTGATTGACACTTTGAAACACATATTAGTTTTTTTCATAATTACGAATCAGTAAAATACCCTTATAAATTTCAGCTATCAATGAAGTTCTTACAAAGTAGTACATTTCTTAACGAAACATACAGAGAAAAAGTGGTAATCTGTTAAGACGCTGTATAGGAATATGCCTGTTCATTTCAGATAGAGGAGCTTCCAGATTGTTCAGACATTCGCTATTCAAATTTTCACAGCGTTACACTCCATACGGTTGTTTACGAAGAATAAACTGTCAAATTGTATTTTCTTAGCATACAGCTTTATTAATGAATGATATATATGTTGGATTAGAGTATACAAAAACAGCATTCAATTAAATTTCTCATATATAGTAAGTTGCAACGTCTTCTACATTCTTCAGTTCCTTGTGCTGGATCAACAGCTGAAAGTTTATTCTCGTCGATTTTCACCTTTTGACCGCCTAATGCCACACTGATCATCGACGCAGGCAATGCATTGAAAAAACTGGTTGCAACATCGATCCGTCCTGGATCTTCACTACTGGTTACTGCAACTAGCGATCCATTTCCACATGGTGCATTGATTAAATAATGAATGGAACCTTGAGGAAACAATGTTCCTTGGCCTTCTTTGATGATGTGACCTGTAAAATTAGCTGCATTATCTTCAATAAAATATAACTCGAATTCGCCTTTAATAATGCAATAGATTTGAGATGCACGTCGATGCATATGAGGAAGCACTTCGCCACATGGTTAAATGACTGATAATGAGACCATTGTTGATCAGCATGGGGAAGTTGCTAGCCTACATACGCCATAGCAAGAGAAAGAAGAGCAAAGAAAATAGTTTATTTTCCCTCAATTAACTAATTGCTTACTTTGGCTCGAACTGTTCTGCCTGCATCTGCTCCGTCGATAATATCAATTGGACGTGGATTGTAAAAATCAAAGATAAAATCGGATTTGTCTCTTAATTTATGGAATGCTTCTTCTCTCGACGTCGGATACTCTTGATTTCTAATAGCTCAGATGTCATAGCATCTGTCCATTGATGAATGAACGAACCAAGAAAGAGAATGATGGCGGTTACAATCATACGAGTTATCGTTTGAGAAAATCAGCGATAGTGTCCGAGTCGAGAAAGTCGTAATGATGAGAAATCTAATCAATATCAAATGTATTTATATTGTTTGCTCTTCTTCTATTGACTACTGCTGTCAAATCGTCTTATCAGAGAGAAAAAGGAACAAGATAATGTGAAAGATATAACTATGATGTCTATTCATTGAATCAATGTGGCATTATTTGCACAGCTGTACTTTCGAGAACATGAAGTTGATGAAAAATACGCATACATAGTGCACAAGTGCATCTAAAGAAAAGTAATGTTTCTTGTGAATTGTCAAAATCCAAAAATCACAGAAATCGCGAAAAATATTTTTCAGGCCATCGAATCATGTCTTTTTACAGTAGTTATAAGAGTACAATAATCACTGCGTTAAATAAATCAGCATTGATTGAAAAATGAGAGACAATACGATAAGTTAGTTGAATATTCAAGCTACAGTTGTGTGTACGCAACTTAACAAGTCGAGCAAATTAAAGCTCGATCTAAGATTCGGAATAAACGTCACATTGCAAGATGGAATCATACGATACGTGAATTATCTTGAGTTATTGATTAGCTCAATTGAAAATGTTACTAAAAGAAAATCGAAACTATTTGTTCGAATTTCGGACATGTTAGCTTACATTTTACTCATTAAGGCACTATATGTTGCTTAGATCTCGATTTTTTCATTGCATATAATGAGGTCCATTAAAATCGACTTCAGTCTACATTGTGCTTTTAAAGCAGCCATGTACAGTTGTATGAAACGTGATTCACTTATTGTTTCGGTGAATTGTGTAAGTGTTTTTTTTAAAACTACGCCTATATCGCGCGTGATTGATTGCTACTGATTGCGATACTAGAGCTACTAGATCTGTGCCATGAGCAAAGGAGTTTTTACCGTATGAGCTCGTTTGCATAGAAATATTAGTCAGCGTGTGTGAGAATCACCTGTGATAGGGCATCTTTCAGATGGTACATCATTTATGCAACTGCCAATGATATAGTTTTTATCAGAAGTTAGAAAAAAATGTCTATGGCATGACTCAAATACAGTTGATATGAAAGCGATATTTAATGTGCCCATGACGAGAAACCCAACGGCAAGATCTTTCAAGAATCGTACGTCTGATCATATCTAATCTTATCAGATCAGACGACAAATCGTACGCAAAATCGTCGTCTCTGATTTCTTACACTATAAGTCGTATCAGATGATTCTTGAAAGGTTCTGTTACCTATAGAAATATCACTGTGATATTTTAATTACACTAATATCTCCTTAAAATATCGCGACAAATTTGTATTGAAAATAAATTGTATGTGCGATCTTTAAAGAAAACACAGTATGATCTGATGCAAGATTTCAGAGACGACGATTTTTTGTCTGATGCTTATAAGATTTCGTTCGAATTGTGAGATCTGACGTCAGATTTTTCGACCTGGGTGAAAGTGAAGCTATTTGAATTAATACAAGAGCAAATCAAACAAGCAAATGCTACAAGAACAAGCATAAATCTTCTGGTTCATCCAAACATTGTATATTGAACGCCTCCTAAATTGTGTTGCAAAAACAAGGGATCTGTATACGACTCTTCTGGATGTGGCAGTTGAGTATGAAACGATCAACCGTCATTGTAACGATGATACCAACCAAGGGGGAAAAAGCGGCTCCTGGTGGCTCCTGATGGATTCTAGAATCCACCAGGAGCCGTAGATTCCACCAGGATCCATAGAATCCACCAGAATCCGCCAGAATCCACCAGAATCCATAGAATCCACCAGAATCCATAGAATCCACCAGAATCCACCAGAATCCATTTTGATTAGTGAATTNAGAATCTACTAGGATCCATAGAATCCGCCAGAATCCATGAGGAGCCGCGAGAATCCAAGGAGCCAGGAGCCGCTTTTTCCCCCTTGATACCAACTCATCGGATGAAATTTGACATGTTCACCGCCGGTATAGCTCGTCTCGTCGATTGTGATTAGAACATGAACATCGGTCTAACGTGTTGCCTGAAAACTGCGCCATTCATCGAATCGTCTCCATTGCTTGGGAAAGTGTTTTGTAACAATAAATCTTCGATCAATAACATTTAATGTTGCATTTTGTTGAATTGGATGACTCATGAAATGTCCACCGAGCAGCTTGTTGTACCATGACCAACCATATTCAGTATCGGCTGCCGAATGAATCCCAACAAAGCCTTTATCAGATCGAATGAAACGAACAAAAGCATTCTTTTCTTGATCATTTAACACATCACCGGTCGTAGTGAGAAAGACAATGGCAGAATATTGTTTCAAATTGTTGTTTGTAAACAAGGAAGAGTCATTTGTTGCATCCACTAGGAATTCATTATCATGGCCTAGCTTTTTGATGGCTGCAATGCCGAACGGGATTGATTCATGATAATATGGGCCTATTGTTGTGAATACAAGAAGTTTGTGTTGCTTCACTGCTTCACTAGTGTTGATGGCAGATGATGTATGCAAAGTTGCACGTAAGCCGAGAAGAATCTCAGCTATTATCGTTATCATTTTCATACTCGATCTATAGTTACTAGAGATATGGCATTTCGATCAAATAGCATTATATGCCGTGTCATACATATGGTTGATTTCTCATGGTTTGGTATGCTTTCGAAGATTGGTAGTGACGTCCTTCCATTGTGCCGATAAAAGAAGGAAGTGATTGAAAAAAGCAGAAAATAACGATTTTGGTGATAAATATAAAATATAAGTGATGGCCAATAGTTAACTGCTTGTATATAACAACAGTTATTTTCTTCGAAAATGTGGGTTCGACTCTTGTTATTCAGCGTGATGATGTTTCCCATTATTTTCATCTAAGGCCAACACAGGACAAATGCGGAATCTCAAGCTGTGTGCTATGAAGTGGTTAATTCGCCTAATAATGACACTATCTGGAGTGAAGCAGGCCTTGACATGAATATTGATTGGGTGACGAAATGTGGCAATATTGTAGCTTATAAATTACGTTGGTCAACTACTGACGAATGGTCTGATTGGTTTGTGGTCGGTGTCAATGATCTATCTCCAGTAGGTACAGACAAGACGACACGAATGTGGTCTCTATTCTTTGATCATTACCATATATTTATTATTTTTACATCGAATCGAAACAAACTGACCCACGTCGATCGTTCCAGTCACCGGATACTGTAGGAACCTGCCGGAAAGTTGCGGAAAAATCACCGTGTTCCGGAGGAAAACACGGGAAGTCTCTGGAACATGGAAGCAATATTCCGGTCTGAAAATTTTCGGAGTTTTTCCCGATGATTTACTGTCGGTTCCTGCCGGAAAGTACTGGAAGTTGACCGGAATTCACCGGAAAAAAATCCTGGAATTTTCGGCCGGAATACTGCTTCCACTTTCCAGCTATTTCCCGTGCTTTCCGGTCATTTCCCGCCGTACCGCCACGACCTGGGGAGTGGAGATAAATGTTAAAATCATGACAACATTTGTCACACTATATATCTACATAAAATAATGACATAGCAGCCATTCAATTGAAAGTCGAATGATTTTCATTTACTTGTTGATAGTATTGCTTGAAAGATGGCTGTGTGGATGGATGCGCAGGTATAAGTCTGGATATAAAGAAGATCAATATCGAACAGAGATGCCGAAAAAATCACTTTTCCCAACCCGAGGGTTGACCGTACGGTAGCTGATAGAGAAAACCGATGGGTTTCAACCCAATTTTTATTTCTATTTCAGCAAATGGGTCATTGGATTGGGTTGAGCCCTTCAACCCAACCCGCCGGGTAACCAATTGGGTTAACCCTGGCTATAATGCATTTCAATTCTCTGCTATGTGTAAAAATTGTACACTGCTGATAGAGGTCTATGGCCATCAGCAGATTTCTATTACATTTGTGAACGAAATCATTTTCATTTGAGCGAATAAATTCACCAATAAAAATAAACTGAAGAGTTATTACTATTATTCATTTTAATATAAAATTAATCGAATCTAAAATTTTATTTAGAAGTAGTGTCATTAAACAAAATTGTACTGATCCGAAATCGATATCTATATAGTGATGTATTTCTCTAATATATTGAAAACAACACTGATGACTTCGAAAAGTTTTAGTTTTTTTAAGTCAATGTAAAACTAAAATAAAAACTAATAGTTCAACAGGACTGGCCCGAGGCAGCAAACATCGGGGGTTTGTGTCGGATTTTCCTACTAAGAGTACCAATTTTTCTAACAGAACGCAAGAAAAAATTTTCGGCTGCACTGAAAAAAACAAAAGTTTTCGATTATTGGGGATTGTCACAAGTCCCGAGACAGGCCAGCCCTGGAACTCAACCAGCATGGTGTACTAATGTAAAATTATGATAGAAATCGTTCGAGATGTATTCTGAACAACAGCAATCGAAGAATATAGAAGCCAAAAAAAGATCTAGTAAAGAAGATAGTGAAATCTGCCTCTATAGCAGAAGAACAACAAGAGACATGAAACAGAGAAGGGAAGAAGAAAATAGATGATTACAAGAAAGAGATATAAAGCAGAGATTATAAGAGGATAAAATCCGATTCTTGTCTGTTTGCGTTTGACTATGCAATTAAATCAATTATAAATATGGAAAAGATGATTCATATCCTATGTTGTGTTATAAAGAAATCTGCATAAAAAATCCTTTTTGTGAATGATTTTACAATATACGTTATTCATGGGTTAACCCAAAGGTAACCCGAGGGTTGGCCGATTTGGTTCATACGTTAGGCTTGACCGATGGGTTAGGGTTTAAAATTCTCAAATAGCCGGAGGACAACGTTGGGTTGGGTTAGGGTTGACCCATGGGTCACCCAACCCATCTGGCATCTCTGATATCGAACCGCATTCACACTGCTCAATCCCTTTCAGTCAACTAAAATCACTTGAAATTAATTGGATAGGGCATATTGCCAAACCTTAGAATCCATCGTAGTCGTTGGAACTCTACAAAGTCTTTGAAGTTCCATATGTAGCTGTTCAAAAGTCTACCGTAAAAAGTAAAACTATTGATTCTTAGGCTTTTAGGCAAATATACACTATTTTGCGATGTTAGGTGTACAGCACAATTGCTGATTCTACAATTTTGATTTGAATAAAAAGAAGTTCGCTGAAAAATAAAATCAACTAAAATAATGCATAGCGAAGATATGGGTGTTGGGATGTGTGAATGCGGAACACTTATTGATTACACTCACTCGCCTGCCGAAAGCTAAATTCGTGAGGATTCGAATTCGTCAAGGTAGTATGTTGGATGCTTTTTGTGTACGCAAAAAAAATAGTACACTATAGAATCGGCCAGTGTGTGCGTCCGTTTATTCGATAACTCTTCACCATTACATTCGAATGAGCTGAAATTTTGTGCACAGAATTGTCTCATCAATATCTCGGTCGAGTTCGAAGATGACAAGGATCTGTCAAGAAATTTCTGAGTTATCGAAAAAATTGTCATTTTTGATCAGACCATCCCTGAGAGGGGGGGGGAGTACAGGGATTTTTCAAAAAAACGTTTTCTCTCAGAATTATCCACAACATATATAAATCGACTCAGTTTTT